CCCTCGGCCCCCCCCCCCCCCCCCCCCCCGCCTCCTGCCCTCGGCCCCACGCACCTGCCCTCGCCTCCCTGCCCTTCCTCATCCAAACATTAAGTGGGGGCACCTCTAGAGGAAACTAAGGGCTCCGAGGGGCCGAACAGCCGTTGGGATTCAGGGCTCCTCTGCCCCGGGAACCCCGCGAGACGCCATTTATAGGGCGTTTCCCGAGCCCCTGTTCAACCCTCGCAAACGGGTGTCACCTCGTTTTGTAGTCGAGGACACTGAGACGCAGAGGGGCGGCCTGGCTTTCTGAGGTTGCCCCGTGAGTTCCTCCGAGCCTGGCTAGGCCCCCGCCGCTGGGACGCTGGGGTGGGGGCCCGGGGCCCGGGGGGCGCGGGGGCTGCAGGGACCGGCTCCTTGGATTTCCCCCCGCCCCGAGTCTTCCTTTCGGCCCTCGCGGCCCGCGTCTCCTTTCTTAGCTCGGAAACCACATCTGAGTTACAAGATAACAGTTGCCTCCATACATTTGATCAGTACGAATAGGACACTTAAATACGGGCTTTCTTGGCACACCAGAGTTGGAGTATAATTATTGTGGAACTGTTGTTCAATTTCTGCTGCCCTATAAAATAACTGCTCTTTGATATTTTCTTTTGTGCGTAGTATATGTGAAAGAATACAAGGGATCAGATTTCTAAGATTTCTTAGATTTTGTAGATATATTCATGTATTTGAACATATCCTTGCCTCTCCCATGTATTTCCTCGTTCACACTTTGTTATCAGAAAGCATTGAAAAGATAATTACTATAAACATTTGCATTCTTACTGTAACTAACCCTCTCCACCTATTTATCAGAGCCCACCTCCAGTTTATTTTCACTTTTTAACGGGAGAGTATGTGAAGGGTTGCTCAATTGTATTTTGTAATTCCAGCAGTGCAATACTTCAGTATCTGCACAAAGTCTTGAACTTAAGTCAGCCTAAACTATGTGCCCTAAACATTATGGTGTTTTAAACTTTTTAAATCTAGTGCTAAACTTCAGTTTCAAAATAATCTTATTTTCTTAATTCAAAAATACATCTTGTGATTAGCAACATACCTTAAAGTTAATGTGAAAATGCATTTACAGATTCCTCTTGCCCCTCTGCCTCCAGATCCACATGCCCTGTAAGCTCAACTCCCTTCTAGAGAATCACTGGTCACCAGGAGACTGTACTTGGGACCACATAAAGCCAGTCATGTGTTATTTCACTATTGCCTTCAATACCATACCACAACAAAGGTTTTGTGTGTACTTATTTCTGAATTCCGCCTGAGCTGTTCACATTCTTTTTGCTCTGTGAAGGCCAAAATTCAATATGGTACATCCATGACCAATTTAATGGGCATCATTTCAGTTGTATTCATTTGGAAACTTGTTAGCAGATCACCTTTTTAAAAAATTTTACAGAATTATTGGCACATTTGGGCAGATTTTGTTAAACCAATTGATAATTTTCTGTTAGGCACATTTATGTTATACTTTTAGTTAGTTGGTTATATTTTTTGTTAATTTCTTCTTTTCACCACATGCCCAAACTTGACATGTTCTCATTTGTTTGTTTTTAGTAAATCTGACATTAGGTTTTTTGTGGGTTGTGGAAAAATTTCGTTTTTAATCTTAACTTCATGTTTTGCACTCAGATTCAGCAAATAGTTGCAACAAATAAGACAGCTCCTACTCCCAAGGTATAGAGAATGTAAGAAAATGACTCACTAATTTAAATAGAAGACTAAATAACACTGTTCGTGAAAATTTAAACAAGGAAAATGCCACATCTTATTTGGGGAGGTATGGATAGGAAGAGATAAAGATGAGGGAAGGTTTTCTAGTGGAGTTTGGCATTTGAGCTAGACTCAAAGAGCACAGAGTATTTTTCCAGAGATTTGTAGAAGTCTATTTGTGGGACAGCTAATAGTCCAAACTGACAAGAATGTGGTGCACATGTAGGGAAGCAGCAGCATATAACGTTAGAATCCTATTGCATAAGTCCTTGCCAGAGTGAAGTTTGTATTTAACTTTATGGAAAAAATGTTAGACTTGGAAGTATAATTAGCAGGGAAGTACCACGAGTGTGCCTGAGTCTGAGGCCATCCTCTCTCCTTGTGCTTTTCTGTCCACTCCTCAAGTCATTTCTTTTTAAAGATGATTTTAAATATCATCTTTCTTTTTTGAATTGTATCTTTCACCCTTACTGGATAATTTTCCTTGGCATAAACACATACATGCATTATTAACATTCTTAGGATATTGAAGATAGATGTGTGAAAAGCAAGTCCAGTGCAATGTTAATTGTAGAATTTAGTTGCAAATATATGGATGCTTACTATGAAATTCCTTAAACTTTCTTGTATGTTTGAAATTTTCATAATAAAATGCTTGGGGAAAAAAATCCCTCAAAACTCACTCTCTCCTCAGGCTATGTCCCCATTTCACTTATCAGCCTGGTGAGATTTTTTTTAAAGCAGTTGTCTATAGTTCCATTCTCTTAATCCTCTTGACTCAGTTTTCAGCCCAAACTTGCACTGAAGTGACACTTGTCTGGGTCACTTTGACTTGTATCTTGTAAAAAGTCCACGATCAATTCCCTGCCCTCACCCTGTTTAATATTTTAGCAGTATTTCATTCATTTAGAAGTAATTAAGTGCCTACTATGTGCCAAAGCATTGTTCCCATCAGTGAACAAAACAGATAAAAAAAATCCCTGCCCATGTAGAACTTATATTCAAGTGCAGAGAGATAGATAACAAACTAAATACGAAAAATATATAGAATATTCAAGTGTCAAGTTTTAAGGAGAAAAATAGAAGTGAGAGGGGAATAGGAAATGCCGGGAGTGTTTTTAAAGAAGTTGGCAAAGGAAAAGCATTGCTGCCAAGGTGAAAAGGTAGATCACATCTCACCTCTCCCTCCTTTAAGCCCTTGGCTGTCTGGACTTTCTTGACTCTACCAGCCAAGATTTCTCCTGCTTCTCCCCCAGATCTCTTAAGCACTGGAGTATCCCCCAGGAATATGTCCTGTCTCTTCCCTGTGTTCTTTCCCCTGGTGATTTCTAGTTCATAGCTTCAAATACCATCCTTATGCTACTGACTTTCAAAATTTTATTTCAAACCTATAAAATCCAGTGTTTAGTTTGCTCTTTTTCTAGCAGACATCTAAAATAGTGTGATCAGAAAGAGTAGTTAATTTTCTCCCCTCACCTCCAACAACATAATTGTTCCTTCCTAGGTCTTACTCGCTCATGAAGAAGCACCATTTTCTCATTCATTCAGACTAGAAAGCCAGAGCAATTCTTGACTGCAGTTCTCTTCCTTCTATACCCTACTCCCCTTATCCAGTCGTNCTCACCAAAGGTTTCTTGTCTGGCTCTTTCAGTTGCTTCCTTTATCTTCTGGTCACGAACCTGAACATCCCAAGCTTTTGTGTCTCCCTGGGAATGGAAACAAGAGGAGTTAAAGCCAGATAATTATATTCAGCTGATAACAAAAGTACTCTTTTGTAGCCGTGCTCCACTGACGAGTTGTCATAGGTACACATCAGATCTTTTCATACCTGGATGCCTTTGCTTCTAGTTGGTTCTTCAGCCTGTCCTCCTCCCTTTCTCTTAGCTAATGGATTCTCATCCTCAGACCATTGCTTAGGCATCACCTCCTCTGGGAAGCCCTCACTGATTTCCCCTCCAAGAACCCAATCTGTGCTCCCCGCACCCTGTGCTCCCTTCCTTCTGAGCACTGATACCACTGCATTTTAACGCGAGCCTTTTAATGCCAGCCTCTTGCCCATGAGCTCTGCAAGATCTGCTATATTCATCTCCTGGACCCAGCTCAGCTTGCCAGAAAATAGCAATTCCATGGGCATTTGCCAGGGAAGGAACCCTGGCAATGTAGAAAATCTGGCTGAGAAAGAGGAAAACACTATTCTAGTCTCTGCTTTCCACTAACTCCAGGCAAGCTCCCTTCCTGGGGCAGGACTCAATTTGCCTTTCTGGCAAGTGATGGTATTGGTCTAAGGCCTTTCGGGTTCTCAGCAAAGTTATACAACACACTAGTCTTCCTCCACAAGGCCTGGACCAAAAGTTTTATTCCCGGGGTTCATGTCCTCTTCTCTTCGCCACCCGCCTCTCTTGTCCTCTGCCTGCCCCTCCACATTCCCTCTTGATTTCTTTCCTTGGGGCCTCACCCCGATGATCCTGTTCCTGGCGTTAAAGATCCGTTTCTGCCTGCACAGCTCCGTTTGTCTCCTCTTGGCCAGGCGAAGGTCCTGCACCAAGTCCTGGGGCTGCACTCCCTCCATGCCTGGGAATCGCAAATTCTAAGAGGCTTTTAAGATATGTGCGTTAAAGGAGAAAAGACAACAAAAATAAAACAAGCTGTAGCCCAAGCGAGGCTGACTCTCCGCGAGGCTGGCTGGTGGGCTAGGAGCCTGCTCCGCCCTCTTTCCATCCAGCCCTCTGCGACCCCGCCTGGGGTGCGGAGATCCGGTTTCCTCGGAAACGTAAACAACCTGTTGCTAAGGAGCGGCGCGGCGCTCGCCGAGTTCTCACTGTCCTCTCGCGAGACGGCGGGAAGCCCTTCCCGCGCTTTTCCCCCCTGAGGGTGAGAACGCGGTTGTGGCGCAGCCGGCGCAGCCATGGGTCGCCTGGAGCTGCTGCTCGTCGAGAACTTCAAGTCGTGGCGAGGCCGCCAGGTCATTGGTCCCTTCAAGAATTTCACCTGCGTCATCGGCCCCAACGGCTCCGGTAACTGGGACCCTGCCCGCCTCCGCCCGCGAGGGTGGCCCCGGCCTCATTTTGCGTGACGGGACGTG